ACGAAAAATTGTGTTTTTCTAGGATGGCACTAATGGGTGTCAAGAACGTGGGCAAGAGCACGCAAGAGGTGCACATAGCCAGTAGCTAGCAGCCAGCGCCAGTAGCAGCCAGCAGCCAGTAGCCAGCAGCCTACCAAAAATCTAATCTAGATTTTTCTAGGATTTCAGACGACACGTTAGGCACTTTTTTGGCGTGGTTCTGGCACTCGCTCGTCCTTCAGAGCCCTGGTGTTTCCCCCCCCGGGAGGTGATTTTTTCGAAGTTGTTTTCCTGCGAGCGGCCGCAGGCAACAGAAATTCTCGAAAAAGGTTGTTTTTCTAGGATTTCAGACGGGACGTTAGGCACTTTTTTGGCGTGGTTTTAGAACTAGTTCGTCCTTCAGGGCCATGGTGTTTTCCTGCCGGGAGCTGCTTTTATGCTTTTTTCGAAGTTGTTTTCGGAAAAAGGTTGTTTTTCTAGGATTTCAGAAGGGACGTTAGGCACTTTTTTGGCGTGGTTTTGGAACTAGTTCGTCCTTCAGAGCCATGGTGTTTTCCTGCCGGGAGCTGCTTTTATGTTTTTTTCGAAATTGTTTTCCTGCGAGCGGGCGCAGGCAACAGAAATTCTCGAAAAATGTTGTTTTTCTAGGATTTCAGACGGGACGTTAGGCACTTTTTTGGCGTGGTTTTGGGACTAGTTCGTCCTTCAGAGCCATGGTGTTTTCCTGCCGGGTGCTGCTTTTTTCGAAGTTGTTTTCCTGCGAGCGGCCGCAGGCAACAGAAATTCTCGAAAAAAGTTGTTTTATGTTGTTTTATGTCGTTTTTCTAGGATTTCAGAAGGGACGTTAGGCACTTTTTTGGCGTGGTTTTGGAACTAGTTCGTCCTTCAGAGCCATAGTGTTTTCCTGCCGGGAGCTGCTTTTTTCGAAGTTGTTTTCCTGCGAGCGGCCGCAGGCAACAGAAATTCTCGAAAAAGGTTGTTTTTCTAGGATTTCAGACGGGACGTTAGGTACTTTTTTGGCGTGGTTTTGGAACTAGTTCGTCCTTCAGAGCCATGGTGTTTTCCTGCCGGGAGCTGCTTTTTTCGAAGTTGTTTTCCTGCGAGCGGCCGCAGGCAACAGAAATTCTCGAAAAAAGGTTGTTTTTCTAGGATTTCAGACGGGACGTTAGGTACTTTTTTGGCGTGGTTTTGGAACTAGTTCGTCCTTCAGAGCCATGGTGTTTTCCTGCTGGGAGCTGCTTTTTTCGCAGTTGTTTTCCTGCGAGCGGCCGCAGGCAACAGAAATTCTCGAAAAAGGTTGTTTTTCTTGGATTTCAGACGGGACGTTAGGCACTTTTTTGGCGTGGTTTTGGAACTAGCTCGTCCTTCTGAGCCATGGTGTTTTCCTGCCGGGAGCTGCTTTTTTCGAAGTTGTTTTCCTGCGAAAAAGGTTGTTCGTCCTTCAGAGCCATGGTGTTTTCCTGCCGGGGGCTGCTTTTATGCTTTTTTCGAAGTTGTTTTCCTGCGAAAAAGGTTGTTTTTCTAGGATTTCAGACGGGACGTTAGGCACTTTTTTGGCGTGGTTGTGGAACTAGTTCGTCCTTCAGAGCCATTGTGTTTTCCTGCCGGGAGCTGCTTTTTTCGAAGTTGTTTTCCTGCGAGCGGCCGCAGGCAACAGAAATTCTCGAAAAAGGTTGTTTTTCTAGGATTTCAGAAGGGACGTTAGGCACTTTTTTGGCGTGGTTTTGGAACTAGTTCGTCCTTCAGAGCCATGGTGTTTTCCTGCCGGGAGCTGCTTTTTTCGAAGTTGTTTTCCTGCGAGCGGCCGCAGGCAACAGAAATTCTCGAAAAAAGTTGTTTTTCTGGGATTTCAGACGGGATGTTAGGCACTTTTTTGGCGTGGTTTTTGGAACTAGATCGTCCTTCAGAGCCATGGTGTGTGCGATTTGGTAGAAGCTGTTGTAGTGCAAGCAACCGCAGGCAACACCATCGAAGTTTTTTGCCTGCTAGCAGGAGGAAAAGTAACAGCAGCAAATAGACGACCCGCGGCAGCAGCAATAACAGCAGCAGAAGCTTTTGCCGCAACAGCAGCAGGAGCAGAAAGTTTTCATGCTGAGAGCTGAAGCAGACAAGCAAGCCGGAACTGGTCGTTTGTTGTTACTGTGCATGCCATTCCGTTCGGGGGCACACGCGGCCATTGGATTGTTTGTGTTTGCTTTGGATTCGCCCAAATTCTTTGGTGCTCTGGACGCAGGTTCCACAAGTAGGGCATATGTGCGAAAAGCGCGTTGCCGGCAGCGTCGGTCGAAGAAGGCCATCCTGCACGCGAAATTGTCTCCCACATACGCGTCGGTGGTTGACATGTCCGGAAACAATTGACGTAGTAACAGATTTTTGGCAAAAAGGGCATGAGTACACATACAGCTTTTGTGGTGGTGGCTTTTGCTCCATGTCTTTTGGGATTGCAACCTCGTGTGTACCTTCTTTTTCGCTGGTCATGGTTTGGCCCGTGTGTTTTTTTCTGTATTCTGCGATCGCTTGCCATGTCTCGCGTAGCACTTGGGTTTGACGCAATTTTTTGCGAAGAGGTTCCAGTCGGCTTATGGTCGATGCAGCAGCCCGCTTGCGGAGAACTGCTTGCGCAACGACAGCGCGGCATACATTGCATATTTGTGTGCCGTTTTCGCCAGAAGGCCGCTTTCCAATGAAATCAGAAAATTGCTGCTGCGGTTTGCGTTGGTGACAGGCTGCGCACTTCCAAGAACCACGCGTTTTCGTTTGGCACTGCAAACACACTCTTCGCGTAGGCTTCCTAGCCATCCACGCTGAGGCGCCGAAGTATTCTTTCGTTTGTTTGCTTTGGCAAACAAAACATTTTCTTTTAGCATCACACGACAGACAGACGCGATACATGCTCCAGCGGGGGTTTTGGTGCTTGCTTGCAAAGTGGCACGCAGCGTGCCACAGGCCACACTGCGTGCATCGATACGGTGTGCCTGCCTCGCGCTTCTGCGCAGTGCATTCTTTACAAACGCGGTGTGTCTCCTGTTTCCACTGCGCTTTGGTGAATGCATCTTTGCGTTTCATCTCCCCACACTCATGACATGGCCTCTCATCCAAGTACTTCTTGCGCAACGCGTCCCAGTCCACGTTCCTGCTTCCACACGTCAAGCAGAAGTTGCCTTCCAAGCGGCAGGCCCTCTTGAAAAGGCGCCAGCGGGAACGGACGGTAGATCAAGATCTTCTGCCGTGTGC